ATTGTTATAGCTCATTTTCTATTGGGGTTGTTCTCAGTGACAAAAATCAAAAGACATTTCCTGACCTTGGTCAACCAGTTAGATTTAGCGCGATAAACAACATAGAAGAAAATCATTCACGGTTTGTGAACTCTCAAACATCTTGTGGATGTAGCCTTCTGCATTTAAAAGACACAATTTGCTAGGAAGTGCTGTTCATTTAAAATGTACCTGATTGCATTAATTTAAATCCATTCAATATTATCTCTATTTGAAATTAGATAAACATATATATTTTTATTTTATTTAACTACAATGGGTCGATTTATTTCTAAACATTTTTATTTGAAATTTAGTTAAATAATTGCTTCAAAACAAAAACCTCAATTAAATTGAATATATTTTCCTTACTAAATTAGGTAAGATTTACATGGCCACAGAATCATTTCTTACAATGCAATRCAATTTATTTCCTGACTACATTGAAAAATACAATGTTCAGTCCTGCACAAATGTAATTATTACACCTGTGCACCTGGTTGTCCAGGTTGTTGTAACGAGTAAGTGCAACATTAAKGTAAAACTGAATAGTGCCAAAATGCTGTCATTTTAACTGATTGATAATTTTTACAAGGTTTTTCAGTTCAGTTTCTGGAAGGACTAATTTTATTAATGTTGTGTTTTGTAACCTTTTGTGTAGTTTTGCCACATATAACGTGCAAAATACACATAGTGTGTAAACAGTTGCTTCTCCATTAGATTCTAATGGAAGAAAAATGACCATAAAACCTTTAAACAAAACAACATGAACAGATGGTTGAGTTGTCTGTCTAAATCAGATATTACCAGAAGCAAGTTCTGATGGTGGCTTACAGATCCTAAAGGATCTGATGAAAACCCATTGGTGGCAGACAAAAGTTTTGCTGTGCTTTGAACCAACGTATCAGGGAGTGGCAGTTGAATTGTTTGCCTCACAAGTGCTTGTGCTCATGCATGTGGGTGAAAACACATGACTGAGTCACCGGACCAGAGGGTAGACTCGAACGAGCTGTTCTAGAAGTTCCACAGTGTCAGCTTTACATGTCAGACAGTCCAGTGGAGAAAAGGCTGTAGTTGTCTCTTCGAAGAGCTTTTAAATCTCCCCAAGGGTGACAGCAGCCTGCATGCCCTCACACTCAGTCTCCCCACTGTCACAGCCCAGTTGATGGAGAGTCTCTTCCCACAACACCCCACTTACTCCACATGCAGGCACTCTGACCAGAGTCAGACATTAGATCATTCACTCTAATCCACAGAGACACTGTCATTATTTTACTGAAGAGCACAGTGTCAGATTTCAAGTTTTCTAACCTTCAAATGATGGCTCRGTGAACATTGTACTGAACTTCAAGGTCATTTTACACATTATTTTAATAATACAGAAATGTATCTCATTCTACATTTGTTTGCTTTAATGAAGTCAAGTTGAAACTATTCACAGCTGTGAYCGATAGCAGCAAAATTGTGGTAATAAGACCAATTCAATAGATGCTGCAATCTAACTAAAGTAAACATAATTGTGTGCAAATGAATAAGGCCGTTTATTTATTTTATGTATTTTTTAAAATTTGCAAAAACTAGCTAATTACACATACAGCAGTGAATGATTTATGGCTTATGACCTAATTTCCCTCTGGGATAAATAAAGTATTTTTGAATTGAATTGAATTGAATTGAATTGAATTGAATGGTGATTTATAGACAAAAATTAGTTCTCAAACCCTCAGGGATCCATGAGCTATAGCTTGGGGGTCGCCAAAATAAATGACAATACATTTTTAATTGTGTCATTCCATTATACACATAGGGAACCAATAGTCTAGTAAAACAAGCATACTTACCCCCCCCCCCCAAAAAAAAAAAATAATAATAATAATAATAATAATGTTTTTGAGGGTGTCCCTGGAAATTTCTCTCCCCTAAGGGGTCCCCAGACCCAAAAAGCTTTGGCTCTTTGGTCCCCATAAAGAGCACTAGGTCCCCACAAGGCTGTGTTTGTCTGGAAAATGGTACCCATAATTTAGCAAAAGCACATTTACACACATCAGCTTTTCTTTGTAGCTTTAATGGTGACATGGGAATCTGTCCTTAGCAGAGTTTTTCCCCTGTGGGCACCACACTTGTTGGCTTTCCCACAAGCGACTGCAACATTGGTTCAATCAAATATAAAAAAAATTCAAAGCTCTGGTGTATGAAGGTTTTATGAGTCCTCGCTCTCAATTCATTCCGAGGCAGTACAACGACCAACACTATACTATTACTGAGGTCGTCGATCATATCTTGCTTTACACTGATGGTGATGAGAGAGACCAGGAACCTGACATGAAAGATGCTATAGAACAGAAAAAGTCAGAAACATATTATTTTATAGCTTTCCATGAACACAGAAAGCAGAGATCTCAAAGAATTCAAAACTGTAGGTTCCATCACAATCCAGCCAGGCCTCACTGAACCACCAGCTAAYGAAGACCAGAATTATCGCTCACATTTCATTCAAAGAAAATCTCTAGTATCTTTGTCATTTCACCTCCAGATCTTATTTCCACTGTAATGAAACCATATTTACAGAGCAACTACATGTCTGGTTGCACTTTTCAAATGCTTTCATGTGCAAAATAATCCCTCCTTACCGGAATACAAGGATTTGATTGGACAATGGTGAATGTCACTCAGTCTGCATCCTGTCTGTGTGTCTTACAGCTGAAGTACATTTGTTGATTTTAGTTTGAGTCTATTGGATCTAAGCATTTAAAGATGTTGTTGTGCCCTTTATCCAATTCAAACCAGAGTTACAGCCCCACATAAAGCAGGTGGTCACAAAAAAWGTTACATGTGGTCATGCACATGGTTCATGATGCACACACACTGCACTGCATGTATGAGGGGTAGTTATTATTTTTTGTAAGCATAAATTGCATAAAATCAAAGCTTTACACAGCAGAGGAATCACTTGAGCTAATTCATGAAGAATGAGGAAACATGTATATACACAGTATATATATATATATAC